TTGCCAAGCGACGAAAACCCAATCCCGATGGCAAACACCGGGGGGAGAAAAAAAGCACAACGGTAACCTGCCAAGCGACGAAAACCCAACCCCGATGGCAAACACCGGGGGGGGCGGAGGGACACCGGGGGGGGGGCTTGTATTACAACGTCGTTGCCAAGCGACGAAAACCCAACCCCGATGGCAAACACCGGGGGGGGCGGAGGGACACCGGGGGGGGGGCTTGTATTACAACGTCGTTGCCAAGCGACGAGCACCCAACCCCGATGGCAAACACCGGGGGGGGCGGAGGGACACCGGGGGGGGGGCTTGTATTACAACGTCGTTGCCAAGCGACGAGCACCCAACCCCGATGGCAAACACCTGGGGGGGGGGAGAAGAGGGGGGAGTTGGTTGTTCGGTGAATCAATCGAACGGGGAGATCCACGAACATGACATACAACAGCGGACGCGTTCCCGAAAACAGAGACGAGCTGTAGCACCAAACTTGCAGGAGGGGCGAACGGGGCCACAAGGGACATCTCTTCCAACCCATACGAAAATCTGTCAATGGGATCTCGAGAAACATCGCCCGAAGAAAACAACTTGCTTTTAGATACACTTTCGGTGGGGTCACGTTTGGTGGGGTCAAAATCGAATAGGTCTGAGGACTTCCGCAACAGAAAACTGAAGCAAATAGGCTTCAGAACTTCCACGACGCCCGATGTCACCACCACGGAAGCAGATTTAAGCGCGCCAACACGTACCCCCCGCTGCTAGAGTATGTCCTATAGTGATATTAGTACTTTGCACCAGGTTCCTGGCAACACAGACCTTACTTGACCGCCTGCCGTTTTGGCTCTCTTGACTTGAACTTTGAATAGTGTGAAAAAACAACTTATTTCAAAGGAGGCGTATGGAGGTTGTTGTTGTTGTTGTCTTCACATTAAACTCGTGTCAGTTGCTAATCCTAAAATGTAGCAAAGACGCGGTCCGTGGTCACAAAAATGCTAGAGCCATCAGAAGATCTAAAGAACACGCAAACTAGCAAGAAAAGGGTACACAAGCCCGAAGAGGTACACCTGCATCCCTGCAGCACGTTTGCGTGCCCGAAAACTGAAGTACCCGTCTATACATTACAGTACATTCGACTACAGCAGCATCCTCCCTATCCCACACTTAACCAAAATGAAAGAATGCTTGTCAACTACAGCGTACAGCTGTCTGGAGTGCTGCCTGTACAATAACACCATGGTAGGCATGGTACAAGTTCGGGGCGCGCAACTGCTCTGAAGTGCTGTCGGAATGCGTCCGTGGGCATAGAGTGAAAAAGAACAGCCAACCAAAGCCATCCTTGCAATTGACAATCACCGGATCTACCTCCAATCATCTGTATTGGACACAGCAGTGTAAATGATCGACACTGACTAGGAATCGTTCTCCTTTGAACGAGTCTTCCAAGATGCAGGTACACAATAAAGGCACCCGGGGTATACGCGCCATCTCTACCGCGTCTCTCTACAAAACCAGTGACGTCATCACACACACAGAACACCGATGTTCAGGAAAAAAACGCAAAACGTTTGCCAACACAAAATGTTCGTCCGTGCGTCACGGTTCGATGTCGTCCGTGTGCTCCGGTGCCGCAGCTCCGTCGCCGCTGCTCCGGTGTCGCTGCGGCCAGTCCTAGCACGACTAAACTCGACCCGCTCCGTCCGTACACGCTCTTGTTGTGTCCTTCCCAGTCGGTTCCTCTCGTCGCACTTAGGGTTCTTAGTCTGAAAATTCTCGCGCCGAAGGGTCAACCAGCCCACTCAGCTCGTCACCACCTGTTCCCTCCTCCCCTTTGATGGCGAAGCTAGGTTATGAGACAGTACAGCTCCCTCTAGCAAACCTAGGGCCGTGTACATAGTACCCGTCCACCTTTCTGATGGCGTCTACCTCCGCGCACAAAGCTGAGATGGACATTGCTGTCTACACCGACGGCCATGAGGCCCGCGCATCTGCACTTTTGTACTTGATGCACCAGTGCCAACACAACTCCACCACTATGCACGCCTCGCGGCGGGTGCGCCGCAGCAAGAAGGNTGTTGTGTCCTTCCCAGTCGGTTCCTCTCGTCGCACTTAGGGTTCTTAGTCTGAAAATTCTCGCGCCGAAGGGTCAACCAGCCCACTCAGCTCGTCACCACCTGTTCCCTCCTCCCCTTTGATGGCGAAGCTAGGTTATGAGACAGTACAGCTCCCTCTAGCAAACCTAGGGCCGTGTACATAGTACCCGTCCACCTTTCTGATGGCGTCTACCTCCGCGCACAAAGCTGAGATGGACATTGCTGTCTACACCGACGGCCATGAGGCCCGCGCATCTGCACTTTTGTACTTGATGCACCAGTGCCAACACAACTCCACCACTATGCACGCCTCGCGGCGGGTGCGCCGCAGCAAGAAGGTATCGGTCCCTTGAGGGTGAGTTTAGCCATGCTCGCTAGAAAGACCCCCCCCCTCGCTATGGGCCATGCCTAAGCAAAAGCCTTGCCGAGGCAGCGAGGGCAACAAGGAAGTTAGGGTTATGCCTCCAGGGGAGGAAGCGTAAAATGTATGTTTGGAGCAGTCTCCAGCGCCGCCCTGTGCGAGAATCAACGATCTCTTTTTTTCGCGATGCCTTCGATTTGCCTTGTGTGTCTCTTGTGTGTTTTCTGGTGCTCTTGCGTTCGTTTTCAAAATTAGTCAACATCAAACTTCGTGGTCTGCCATCCCTTAAGCTCGAGCTGTTCTCGCTACCGACAGATTTTCATTGTATTGCCATGGGTTAGAGCAGTGCTAGTGGGGTTAGTGGTGGTACAGTAGTGGTGACTCCTTCGTTATGTCCAGCAGTATCCGTGAAAAAGCAGGTGTCTGCCCATAACGTGTGAAATGATACTTTATCGTCCAAATGACAACGAGACCTTCCTGCACCGTCCTCAATAGTGGTAACATGCCATCAATCGGGTTGAGATGTGACAAAGTAGATTTTTGATGCCGCTGTTCGGGCATTGCACTACCGAGGGTGCCACTGCATACGACCGGTCGCCCCGGTGGTCTGGTGGGTAGCCTCACAGCCTGCTAAGGGCTAGGTCATCGGTTCGAGTCCCGGCAGAGAAAGTTTTTTTTCTCACCAAATAAATCCTGGTCTAGGATGAAAGCGACGCGCTGCAAAGCTCGTTTGTTAGTAAACCATAATCGACTTCGTAAGTCGCGAGGGAAGGGATTGCTGTACCCTTCTCGCGATAAAAATACCTCAGGCATGAACCGCAGGAGGGGGTCCAACCCCCCCCTCCTATGTGACCCCGGTTGGGTCGTCTAGCTGGTAGAAATGGATGATGGGGGCCAGAGGGGCAGACGACAGAGTCCAATGATGGGAGAAAAACAAAACAAAACAACACAAACAACTGCTGTATCGGGACCACTGCTACAAACCGATGAAAGAAGGAAACGACTCAAAACCATGAAGACTTTGACCTGCCGCCTTTAGTTGCTATCCTCGCACAAACATTACCAGCCCACCCCCGTTGGCGAAAGCTTGCTATGCATACACGACATCAGCACTGACTGGTACAGAACCTGCAAGATATCAAACAGCAGTGTGAAATGCGTTCTCCTCGATTGTACCTGGAATCAACCAGTTCAAATGTAGTGCACCTATGATTTGCTCACGCCAAACAGCTACAAGCACCGGCATGCAAACATACTTGAGCAGTGCCCGGTCCCTGCACGTATGTTCCAACCTGCCAAGCTAATACAGAGTCATCATCGATGCAAGTCACACCGCAGGTTCGACACACGACGTTGAAAGCACCACCGCAACACCCATGTGGTACACCTCCAAAACAGGCTCACCATCCCGCACATGATGGCCAGCCTCGTTTGAAATGGACCAAGACCAATGCGATCAATCGCTTCAGAGAAGCTCCCGGGAGGACTTTGGACGACGCTCGGTGGAACTGCCCTCGAGTTGGAGGTCATGGATGTCACCAGTTGAAAGTGCTCGGTGGGCGGCCTTGTTGCTGAAGCCGCTGTCCCAGTCTTGATCTGAAGCGATGCCATCTTCCCTGTACTTCCTCCTCCGTCTCTCTCTCTCGCTCTCGCTCTCTCTCTCTTTCTCTCCCTCTCTCCCCCTCCCTCTCCCGTTCCTTTCCTCCACTCGGTGGAATCTCGGTTGCTCTTGCGTCTCACGTTCCGCTCTCAGCAGTTTTTGCGGGTCAGCGACCATGGGTAGGGCAACCCGGGAACGACTTATATTAATTTCGCGCGGAGCGCCGAAAAAATACGAAGAGGCGTTTGGGCCAAATCCTATTGTATCTAGAGAAGTACACTTTTTCTTGGTATGACTCAACGAGTCCATCTCTATGATAGAAAAGAGTCAGAGACAGATTAACAATGGAATCATAGCGTCAGAGAAAACTTTTGTATGTCTACGATTTCCTAGACAGCATATAGGGACATCTCCCCTGCGGGTTTTTCTTTTTCTCCTTTTTGTGCCCTGACTGTTACCGTATATGACACAAGATAACACACCCCCTGGACCAATTTTCAAAGCTCGATTACTCCACGACGAAGAGGATGCATGAACGAAACGATACATTTTTAGAAAGCTCTCCACGAGCCGGTTCCAACGCCGCTGTTTTCGGCGCTGCGACTTTTCCTGTAGTTGAGAAATCGAGCTTCGAAAATTGGCCAAGGGGGTGTGTTATATTAGAAACGTTTCGGCAAGACCAACCGAACGAAAAACAAACGAACAAAAATCTCCCCACATTTTTCAAGATCAACGATGCGGCGCATCCTGTTTCGCCCCAAACGACTCAAGCCTCGTTCTCCACGGCAATCGACTCCGCTTGGTCGAATTACATACAGAGGACACCACTCTCGAGGCCATCAGATCTAATCTTGTTCTAGGACGGCCGTCCCGACTTGGGCCTCGCCGTGGCTCGTGGCAGTCTCATGCAGGTAGACCGCACAATCGAAATCCGTGGGGAAGAGAGGGTAGTGAGACAGCAGCGGAAGAAGCACAGCCGCAAGATACTGCTAATCAGCCAGCTGTTGAGAATGGGTACCACCGAGGCAGCTGGAAAACCCGTGCAATCTGTGGTTGCTGATGAATTTTTCCTCGAAAAGGGTAGAGAGCATGTTGAAGGCATCCGAGAGAGAGCATCGAAACGCGGGAAACGACAGCCTGCGGCTGCTGCTGCTGCTTCATCTGCTGCGGCGAAGAAGGCGAAGCGCAAGGGGGCGGATGCAGCTCTCTCCGACCCTCTAGCATTGGCTCATGATGGCGGGACTAGAAGCGGTGCCACCCCAGACACTTCGCGGGAGGAAGCGGTGAATTTTGAATCACTGCTGAGGTGCTGCTGAAAGGTGTTCTAGTGCTTGATTGACTGCGCTTTACCTGGCGCGCCANGGATGCAGCTCTCTCCGACCCTCTAGCATTGGCTCATGATGGCGGGACTAGAAGCGGTGCCACCCCAGACACTTCGCGGGAGGAAGCGGTGAATTTTGAATCACTGCTGAGGTGCTGCTGAAAGGTGTTCTAGTGCTTGATTGACTGCGCTTTACCTGGCGCGCCAGTTCATGCCAGCTGCTCTGTTCTTGAATTTGAAATTTGGTACACGCGCTGCCCGTCCTCTTTGCCCCCAAATTGAGGTCCATTCCACCACGTCGAGAAAGCGCATTTAAAGTTGCACGGGTTTGGTGACTGCTGTAGTCTAACTGCTGCAATGACGCTGCTACCGTGGTGTTTATTTGTCGCTCACTCATATGTTCCCCCGACTCCTCCAATAACTACTGTGCGTTGTAAGCAGGTTGCGGAGGAGCGTCGCTCTAGCGCGATGGATTTGATGCAGAACGNGAAAGCGCATTTAAAGTTGCACGGGTTTGGTGACTGCTGTAGTCTAACTGCTGCAATGACGCTGCTACCGTGGTGTTTATTTGTCGCTCACTCATATGTTCCCCCGACTCCTCCAATAACTACTGTGCGTTGTAAGCAGGTTGCGGAGGAGCGTCGCTCTAGCGCGATGGATTTGATGCAGAACGACCCCGTGTTGATAGAGCGAGTACGGGCCATGCTGGATGCTGGCGCGGCAGAGCAGGCAGCAGCTAAGGTGGCTGCGATCGACGCGGCCAACACTCGTGCACTCCGCGCGTCGTTGCAAGCGCTGAAGCAGCACCGCAACAGCTCGATTTGGTGGACCACTTACCAGACGGCACTCGCTGTAGCAGCCGGAGCGGGAGAGCACATGTGTACTGACACGGACGTGTGCCACCTCGGCCAGCGGTGCAAGCCCGTTGAGTCTGGTGGAGTGAGCCTTGCCGAGCGAGCCAACAGTCTCGGCATTCGGCACGAGACTTTCAGCGACGCACGGCGGCGGATGCACAACACGAACCACGACATCGCCCCCAAGATCGCTGCGAGTGAGGGATGCTACGTGTTCAACGAGCGCAAGACACGGAGTGACGTGACGAATCCCGGGAACAGAGGAGGAGCAGGGGGGGGAAGGTGTGCCCCGACTTGGTTGGCGAGGTGATGGAGAAGTCGGGAAACGAGATGTTTGGGAGTCGCACGCTTGGGACTCAAATGACCGGCGTTATTCTTCCGGTCATATCTTTGGACGAGTCCCCAGTGGCGCGTACGCTTGACCAGAGCATGGGGGAGGTGGGGTGGGGAGGGGAGAAGGAAGATGAGGGAGAGGAGGAGGACGAGGAGGGGGGGAGGAGGAGAAGGAGGTGGAGGAGGGGGAGCGGGAGGAAGCGCAATACGTAAGCTCAAGAGGTCGCGNGAAGGTGTGCCCCGACTTGGTTGGCGAGGTGATGGAGAAGTCGGGAAACGAGATGTTTGGGAGTCGCACGCTTGGGACTCAAATGACCGGCGTTATTCTTCCGGTCATATCTTTGGACGAGTCCCCAGTGGCGCGTACGCTTGACCAGAGCATGGGGGAGGTGGGGTGGGGAGGGGAGAAGGAAGATGAGGGAGAGGAGGAGGACGAGGAGGGGGGGAGGAGGAGAAGGAGGTGGAGGAGGGGGAGCGGGAGGAAGCGCAATACGTAAGCTCAAGAGGTCGCGTACGTCGCGAAGAAGAGGTTCCCGGAGGAGGGCCAGGGATGGATGGATGTGTTGGCTGCCAACCACAAGAATGGAACTCGTCGACGTTTGTTGTTCTTCTTGCTTTTTCTGGTGTGGTGTCGAACGCAACGTTTGCAAGTATTATGCGCTACCCTTTACTCTTGGTACCCCGTTTTGTCCCCGGGGGGGACACAAATTTCGTGTACCCTGGTGGGAAGTGGCCAGTAAAGTGTGCAAAAACTATAGGGTTTGTTCTACCGGAACAGCGATCTGAACAGCGCATAAAATGGGCATGATATGGGGAAATCCCCGTTTTTTCCCCGGGGGGTGACACAAATTTCGTGTCCCCTGGTGGGAAGTCGCCAGTTAAGTGTGAAAAAACTGTAGGGTTTGTTCTACCGGAACAGTGGTCTGACAAGCGCATAAAATGGGCGAGATAAGGGGAAATCCCCGTTTTGTCCCCGGGGTGGGACATGAATTTCGTGTCCCCTGGTCGAAAGGGGCCAGTTAAGTTTGCAAAATTTGTAGGGTTTGTCTACCGGAACAGCGGTCAAAAAAGCGCTTAAAATGGGCAAGATATGGGCAAATCCCCGTTTTGTCCCCGGAGGGGGACAGAAAGTTCGTTTCCCCTGATTTGCGTTTCCGTGTACATTGAGTAAGACAAATCCCCACGTTTCGCTGAAAACCCACCTTCCCGACCCCGAATTAAAAAACCTGAGACCGAATATCGCATCTACACAACCGACAGCAACCCACAACTGAATTTTCAGAGCTTTGGTGGTATGGCAACACTATCAATCTCAACCCCTCCCCGGCATATACCGGAAGGCGCCCCAGGCGGGTCTCATTATGAAAATCACCTCGAGTTTCAGCCTGGGTCTCGAACCCACGATATAGACTATGACAAATAACCCTGCTGCAACATTTTACACGATGTGGGTGACGAGTGAGATATGAAGCGAGGTAAGATTGGATAGCAGCGCTGACAAAGGGAAGCGACCCTCCCCGGAGTGAGTGAAAGTGTCGGGTCGCGCGGACCGCGCGACTAACTTGCAAGCGGTCGAGATCAAACCATTCAATAGCTAATCAGCGCTGGCTTGGTCTGATGGCGGTTTCATTTCGGCTGCTAGATGCTTTCAATCAATGGTGAGAGGTAACTCTTCTCCCTTCTTCCCCTCGCTCCTCGACAAGCTTTTCCTTAGACATGGGTTGTAG